CGAGCTGACCTTTAATCTCAGCTGTTCAGGCGCCGCAAGAGGGAGGGTGATTCCGTGCGTAGAGGGTCATTTTGGATGTATCAAATGTTCTTTTTTAAAGTTCAACTTTAGGGGCTATATTTGGTGTAGATGGCATACATAGTACCCCACAGTACCCCTCTGAGCGTGGCAGCGCTACAAGTTGACTTTTAATTTCACTCCCTATGAAATACGGCGGAATTTACAGAAATTATGACGGAATTTACAGGTTATGGAATTTACAAAGCGAAGTTTTTAGTCTCCTGACCCGCTGGGTTACAAGATAGGTAAAAACTGTTGACGGTGTCATTTTGAGCATCCAAAATAGCGTTTTTTTTTTTTTAGCGAAGATTGTATGAACTTTCTCCCTCAGATGGAGGAGCTACGGCCCGAAACGGAATTTACAACTATTTATACACCCTTACCGTTTTGAACAATTCTGACGGCCTGGAAGCGTCGTTTGACCGCCCCAGGTCCCGCGGGCACGGGCTTCTGGAAGCGTTTTTAATGTTCTTTCGATCCCAAGTGGTCGCGAGGTTCCAAAACGAAAAGGAACCCCAGTAGACCGTCATTTGTGTAAACAGCATAGGTCACATGGTCACACGGTGGACATTTTCCCAAGGGCTGTTCCCGGGGTTTAACAAGTGATGATAAAAGATCACCCTTTAGTATTTTGTGAAGAATAAGTCAGGGAGGAGAGTGAAATAGCCAGGTTTCTTTTGATATGGCTGAGTCATAGACTACAGCATGGCAATGTTGTCTCATAGGTGTTGGTGACCATGACGGAACTTACAAAACGACACTTTACCAGCTTACGAAACCTAGATAAACAAAAGTTAGATCGACTTATCCACTTGAGGACATGGTCTTCGTTTAGTAAAACAAATTTGAATTGCCCAAGCTACCAAATCAACCTCAGTTCAGGCGCAAGGCCCCCGGGGACCTGAAATGACCCCCTACGCACGGAATCACCCCGGGAAAGTGCACAGTGGGGGGGGGCCCTAAAAACCTTTTGAATTTCCCAAAAGCCGCCAAATTCTTCTGGCAACAACTCGACGGTCGGGCACTTAACTTAAAAGCTTGACCCTCCGGGTCACTTGAAAAAG